TTATAGCGCTATAAACAGCGGTGAGGAAAGCACAGATAGCTTATTATGTAGCTTCATATTTTACAACAAAGAAAAGAAAGAATAGTGTAGAAGGCGTAGAAGAAGTATTATGGTATACTAAGTATGAAACATAAAATATATGCTAACAGTAATAATTTTAATATTAGAAAAAGCGTATCAGTATAACTCTACATTTCCCTTTACTCCTTACCTGGCCTTATGTTTAATTAATTAACAGTGTTGTTTGTAAATATGTGACTCATAATAACACTCTCCCTTGTAATTTTTTGTTATAGTTGAAGGTTCGTATTTATTATATAATCGAAATGTTAGTGTTATTATGTTCTGTTTTGCTGTTTATTAGGTATGTTTAATTAATAAAACAACTTATGTTAAAAAGATTACGATTGTTAACCTGCTTGGAAAGATGACTGTTAGATAAAAATCTGTTTTGTTTAAGTTATTTCTTTTTTATGATTAAGCACAAAGCTACAAAATAGGCTATCTGCCAACCATTGATATCGAAACTCGATTTTTAAAGTGTAAGCCGTCAAGTTTACTTCTGAGCCACGGGAGGGTGACGCGTAAGTCAATTGCAGTTCTTATATTTTGCCGCAGTAGGGTGTTTTTGAATATAAACTGACTGACCGTATGTAACGATATATGTATTGCACGTAGCAACAAATAGAAACACCTTAAATATTTCGGAGTAGTACTCGACAGAACTTTAACATGCAGACAACACCTAGAAAGTACTGCACAAAAATAAAAGAAGAGGAACTCGCTGATCGGTAAGCTAGCCAGGGGTCGTCATGGGAAGCATCTCAAATTGTGTTAAGAACATCCGCACTGGCCCTATGCTACAGCGTAGCTGAATATTGTGCCCCAGTGTGGACATGCAGTACCCACACAAGAAAAGTCGATGCCCAGCTGAATGAAACGATGCGAATTATATCCGGTGCCATCAAATCTACACCATCGACTTGGCTGCCAACAATGAGTGTGATTGCTCCACCACACCTCCGCAGAGAGGAGGCCACTCAAAAGCAGCACCAACGTATTAGAAACACAAATACTGACACACCCTTGAAACAAATAATTGACAGAGCAACCCACCACTTCAAGACTAAAATCAAGAAAACCTTTCTATAAGTCAACGAAAGAAAACTTCAACATTAAAGAAGCTTGAAGAGGGGAATGGAGGGAGTGCCCTCCCAGGGGTGGAGACCTGGTGGGGGACCCCACTGAGCCACTGCCCGGTTTCTATCGCCTAACCAGAAAGCAATGGACACAAGCAAACAGGCTGAGGTCAAGCCATGGCAGAACATTGGCCAACCTGCATCGATGGGGTTATCGTGAATCCCCTATATGTCCAGCATGTCAGGAATCCACACAAGGCACAGAACATCTCGTGTTGCACTCCGGTCACAGAGGTACCGGGAGGATATGGTACAATCCATATCGCGGGCAAAGCATTCATTGACTGGATCATGACTGCGAATTTGGAGGTGTAAGAAACACCATACGCAACTACTAGTGGGCATAAATAACACACCCTTTATTATTATTTAAAATTTATAAGCATAATTACTGCTATTCTATATGACGTATTTTTAAACAACATGTGAATAGTATTATGGATTAATTATAAAATAAAAGAGTTTTAAATCAAATATAAAGTAGTTGTTATGGTAACGTCATCAGTAAAATATAAAAATTAGAACTATCGATGGCTTGAACATTCGAAGGTCAGAATCTAACTTTAATTACTGCCCCACTATGTTTCAGTCTCGGCAGTTTTATTTTTTTCACAAGAGCACAGAGTGATTGCCTAATGGAATGAGTTGTCTACGGTAGTTGTGTATGTCGGCACTTTACAAGAGTTTAAAAAGAAGAATCGATAATTTCCTTAAAACAACGATTATGTTTAAATTTTTATCTTCTCTCGAAAATGGATGTTCAAGGACAGCCTTTTAGGCCTTTCTATGAGGTTTTAAGTCCGTTTTACTTCACCATATTGTAACCTAAATTAATTGTGGTATGCCAATAATGTTATGACATTTCGTCGAATTTTGGTGAAGAAGAAAATAAATCTTCAACATATATATACAATAGGTGGTTCTTGTTGTCGCTATGCTGTGTTAAACAAAAAAGAAGTTTAATATTTTAATAAGATTACAGTTTGTGTTTTATTTATCATTTAGTGGCGGTTCTTTATTTAGATGTGGGCTTTTAGCTGTGTAACTTTTAATATTGTTGTTTTCATAATTTGTTTTTGACACAGCTGTTTCATTATTACAAAATAAAAATAAATATTTTAATAAATATTTGACCACTAGAGGGCAAACTTTTTATTTGGAGAATAGAGGTATTATGAATTCATAAATTTCCAATTTGAAAACATATCTAAATAACTCGTTTATGATGTATTTAAACATCGTATTTATTTCCACATTTAATTGCTGATCTATACTTTAATTAAATTACATATGTAAGTGTGAGAAATGGTATTATAAAATCGAAGTGTGCTTAGGCCTAAGTAGTTAAAGTAGTAATGGTAATATTACCATTATTACTTTAGACTTTAGTTTAGCCTAATTTAGATAGCCAATTTCGAAATTGGGTTCTTGGTAGTGTGGCACATTTTGGCCATTTTTAATTTAACTTATAAGTCAAGTGACAAATTTGATATAAAGCAAAGAAAAAATGTCAAAATTGAGGACCAACTGTGTTATACTCAAGTCAAACTTAAAGTATCAGTGACTCAATTATATAGTCAATATGGTTTCATGAAGGAAGTTACTAAGGAAATTCTTGCCTTACAAGTTACAAATCTTTTGGTATTCTTTGAAAAGGTTACTACTTATGTAGATTATGGTAAGGGTGTAAATATGGTGTATCTGAATTTTCAGAAAGTATTTGACAAAGTACCTTATAAGAGATTTGTAAAAAAATTTATCTCTATAGGTGTGAAGGGTAAGTTAGAAAATTGTATAGAATTTAAGAGTAGCTGGATGGAAGAAAGCAGAGGTTGAAACTTAGAAGAGGTATCTTCCCTACTCTAAACCAACACCCCGGGGTGCAAGA